TATATACTCATAAGGCTCTTTTAAAAAAGTCAGTTGGGCTGGGAAATGAATCCAGGCAGTCCTACATTTATGAAGAGTTCGTTTCCAAAACCTTAATTTGCAAATTAGTTTTTGGAACTTCAAACACCATTATACATGGCAGCTGGGATCTCAGGCCAGCCAACTACTACCTTTTCAAATGCAAGATATATCTGAAGCTCATACCGAGAACTGAAGCTGCATTTTTATGGAAAAAACACATCCTCAATGGTCCAGTCAGGAAGGCCAGGAGCACATTAGACTCCAGATGGCAGAGAGCCCCTCTCCATCCCCCATTCCTCTTGCTGCCCTTAGACCAACAGCTGGGAAGCCATTTGGTGGGGGTTGCGAGGGATATGAGAAGCAGCAGAAGCAAGGGCTCATTTCAGGGACAGAATAGTCAAAGGGAAGGAGAGGGAACGAGAAATGAACAATGCAAACAGCATCAACAAGGAGGAAAAGAAAGGACTGGAGCCACCAAGTACCTAGCCCATGTGACTGTGACCAGGAAGACACATGCAGCAAGTCAGGACCACCTTCATCAGGATTTGGTTTAGTTACCAGTGCACGAGCCATTCAGCAGCATTATTTATAGAGCGCCCAGGACAGGCAAAGAACAATTACCTTTTTTCTCTGTCACCCTTTCTTATTTTTCATCCACAAATAGCAAGCAGTAATTTCACCTTTAACCAGATAAGAGGCCCAGAAAAGTCAGTCATTTAAAACCAAGCTTTGAACCCCAAAGTGAACAAAAGTGGCCAGTTTTGTACACAAACCAAGAGTCACAAAATGCACAGGACCCTTACTTTGTAGGAGAGATGGCCCCTCACTGGTCCTCCACCTGGACTATAGGCTCACTTTGAACACAATTCTAACAAGAGGGGTTTGCTGATATCTTTGGCTACAGCAGAAGAGAGAGTGGAACCACCAGAGGTGGGTACTTAAACAGCAATTAGAAGAGATCCAAAGATATAGAAAAGAAGGCTGAGGACATCACATAATTGCACCCACTTTTGGTTGGGAATCTTATCTACTGAGGTATCATGGTTTCACCGGCTGATTTAAAAAACTGTATTTCAAATGTGTTGTAATATCTATTTTAAAGAAGGGAAAAAGAGGGTTTCTATTAAATTTTGCTTTTTTTGTTTGTTAGTTTACAAAATGTAGCCTGCTGTAAAATTGTCATGCTCCATTCTCTAATATGATTGGATAAACCAAGTATTCCTATGTTTTTTATAAACCCGAACATTTTTGAGTATATTTCTTCTCTCATTTCTGCTGAATCTTATATAATTATGCCAATTATTCATTTCCCTGCCATGCTTTTAACTTAGTTCCCTCAGAATACAGTGGGATGAACAAAATAATTTCCTACTTTTCTTTGATTCACGGTTTAAAAATGTATATTCCCTTCCACATTTGTTTCAAAATGTGACACAAAAACAAAGCTTTTTCATTCTTAGGATATATCAAAGCATACTCCTGTATGAGAAATGTAAACTGTTAATGGACTAAAGCTTGAATACTTACAAGAAACCCAAAATCTTGACTCAAGAAGACTCTAAGATTTGGGGGAAATGGGAAACGTAGTGGTGAAAATATTAGACTGCAGGTGACAGAATCTCTCAATAATCTTACTAGGAACAAATTAAGCAGCACCTTGAACTCTAAAGAACTGAATAACCATTCACACCTACCCTTGAAAATAACAAGGCTCTGTGTAGGTCTTGACATTCAGGAATTTTAATGTGCCTCATTAAAAAACAAAACAAAACACTGCCAATCTTGCTTTGTAGGTGATGAAACTGATAATTATCTGATGCAAATGCAAAGGAATTTAGAGTTCATTTTGTTGGGCACCTGTTTTGGCACTTAACCCAATACTACTTCTAAGCCAAATGGTGCAGAGGCTTTGTGTCTTCAAATGACTCAGCTGAAAAGTATGAACTTAGATGAGCTGAGTTTGGTTTTTCTGATAACAGGAAACCGAGAGCATCTATTTGGAGCATCAGTATCATGCTGGAAGGTGACGATCCAAAGATTCAAAACGGTTCCTGCCAGCAAATGAATTACCATCTATTGAGGGGAGGAAAGGCATGGTCACCGCTAACGTCGTACAAGGCTCATAACAGAAGATGAACCAGGGTTATTAGCATGGAGAGAAAAGAGAATCTGAGACAGGCTTGTGGAGGAGGGTAGCATTTGATCAGGACTTTAAAGGACAGGAAGGAAGTCAGGAGCAGATGAGCTTCGCATCTCTACCACACTCCCCAGTCACGCCCCATTGCTCACACCCACCCCCTCCCCATCCTTTCTCCCCACCCCACTCTGCCCACTCCACCAAAACTTCCTTGGAATCCTAGCTCTCCATGGAACAGCTCAGGAACCTAATCTTCTTTTAACGCCTCCATTTCACATGAGGAAACTGAGGCTAATGGGGTGTTCCCCAGGTAGGGAATCGAGTGAGCCAAGGAATGGGGGTGGCTTGTACATGATGAGTTTGGGAAACAGTGAGTGATCCGATTTGGCCAGAGGAGGGGGAGGTCAGAAGGGGAAGGAATACGAAAGGCAGACTGTGGAGAACTTGGAATACCATATTAAGGAGAATTGTCTCTGTCCTCAAAGGTGTGGGGAGGAGATCCGAAAAGGGAAAGAGGAGGAGGCTGGGGCCAGAAGGGAGGCAAGAACTCCTGAAATTCAGGAAATGGCAGAGCAAGTAGAGAGGAATGAGAGAGACACAAAGCAAGTAAACTGATAGAACCACAGGCATGATGGAGTGGGAACTAAAAGTTGAGAGAGAGATGAGAGAGAGAGAGAGAAAGAGAGAGAGAGAGAGAGAGAGAGAGAGAGAGAGAGAGAGAGAGAGAGAGAGAG